TTATACTACTATTTTTTAGCTATTTAAACTGTATTGTGTTTTATATTTAAAGTGTATAATATATACATTTAAACTATATTATATTAATCGATTTGAAAAAAAAATGATAACAAATATAATTGAAAACCTTTTCATTATTATTCAATTAATTGTACATAATTTTCAGTGCAGAATATTTGCATGAAAATCTTAATGAAATTAAATTTTAATTAACGTATTAATGGTAAATATGAATTGGCAATTTAGCATTTTATCATAACTGAAATTACTATCACGTTTTTTAAGTAATTAATTTTTTAGCAAAGATTCACTTTTTAACAATCAACGATTAGTAATTGCAACAATATTGGGTGATACCGGTGATTACTACAAATCATCTTACTATAACAGATCATGGATTAATGAAAATTTCAATAGCCATGGTGGTCTTACAGCATACGATTGCTGGATAAAGGTATGAAAGAGTTTATACGATTAATTTGATTAATATATATGATGAAATTATGATCAGAAAATATTTCGAAAACAGTATTTTATCCTTAGAAAATAATAATTATGATCAAAAAATACTTAGTTTTTTTGTGTTTTTTTGATAATTTTATCAAATTAATATTTGATAAAATTATGATCAAAAAATATTTAGTTTTTTTTAATGTTTAATATAAAAAGATAGGTTTTTTTTTTGTTTAATATAAAATGCAAAGAAAAAACGAGGAAAATTTGGTAAATTTTATATAACTCAATTTAACTAGTAATACAGTTAACTTGTTATTTATTTACCTACTACATATTCGAAATGCGTAAGATTTTATGGTAATTAATTATAATTATCAATTTGCTGAAATTAATTGTTCATGTTTCTCGTTTAATGATTCATTTGAGCACTGCACTTTTCTCATCCTTTATGATCTTTTTTTTCCTTTAAATGATGAAATGAATAACAATTTCAAGAAATCAAAATTAAAGAATAACTTCAAAAAAAATTGAAATAAACAAAAGAGTTTTTAAAAAATTGAAGCAAACGAAACAATTATGGAAGAGCAAAATGAAAAAAAAAATAATTTCGAGAAATTAAAATTAAAAAAACAATTTTACAAAATTCTTGAATAATTGAATAACAGAATTAAAAAAGAACAATTCTTGAATAACCAAAGTGGAAAAAGGATAGTTTTAGGAAATTGAGGAAGCATTTAAATTTGGTTATGATCCATTAATTTCTGGACATGAACGATGTGATCAAGCTAATACAGATCTGATTGATTTTCGAAGTCGACGAACAACATGCTTTTTATAGTTTATTCGTTTTCTGTTTTACTTTTTTTTAGCTGTAGATGATTCTATTAATTAAAAATATATGTCAGATTGAATGTTTTGATTTTAAAATAATTGCAAATTTTCAGGATTTTTAGCTTTAGCGTTCTTTTCACTTCTTTTTTTTGCATTTTTGCATTATCTCCAAAAATATTGTAGATAGTATCATTTATCGCAAAAATTAGTGTTAATACCAATTAATATTAAGGTTAATATATTATTAAATACTTCATTAAAATTAAGGTTATATTATGAAATACTTCAAGTAATATCTAAAATCGATAAATATATTAACTCTATTTAACTTAATAATGTAATTAATATCTGAAAGAAAAACGAATTTTTTTTTTTGGAAAGTTAAGTTAAACTGTACTAAAAAATTTATTTGATATAAAAATTTAATTCGTACCAAAATACTATCAATAATTCATTATTAATTCATATCTCAAACATTATCAATTTCATTTTTATTTTGGCTAACATTTAAAATACATTCTAAGTTAAACTTTTTAATATTTATAATTATTTGCACAATAATTTTTTTGTTAAATTGATACTAATTTTTTATGTATTTAATTATTGTTGAATTAGATATTGGTATGCCGTATATATTTTTTATAGATTTTCGCCGATGATGAATTATCAAATTTAATTCAGTTCCTTTCATTTTTATTATAGTTATTATTTCGATTGATGAGCTGCCGTGAAGAAATTTGGTGGATAGTATGCTTCACCTTCAAATACCCATGGCACCTGAAAAAGCACATTACATATATATATATATATATAATTAATTTCCATTAAAAAAAATTATTTAATAATGATTTATCACGATAATCATTGTTATTTTAATCAATGGCTAATACTGTATCATTATTTTTTCATGAATGTTATTGTTAGTAATTGAATTATTATAAAATTAATTAACATTATCGATCTTTTTCAGCAACAATTTACTGTAATTTTAATCTATATTAAGCTATACCACTTTTGAAATCATATTTCGATTAACAAAAGGAAAAAAAAACAAACACGAATTTTTAAAATTAAAATAAAAATCAATGCTAATCAATGTTAAATGTTTTTTTTTTTAAAATTATGATATCATAATTCGATGATATGATTTTGTTTGTTGAATATACGATGTTGTAGAAGATAAAATCCAGAATATTGAATTCCTTTTTTCTCATTTTACTACAACGTCATATATTCAATCAATATTTTTGAAATACATCTATTATCATTATACTTTGAATATGCTATTGTAAAATGATCAAAAGAAAAAAGAAATATATGTGTGCAAATTTTTATTTCAATTAATCAAAAAATTTAAGAAAAAAAACGTATAGAAAGGATCAGTGCAAAAAAAACTTGAAAATTTTAGCAAATTACATGAAAAGAATACAAAAGAGTGATAAAAAAATATTTTTCATCATTTTTTTCTGCAATTACAAAAAAAAAAACTCCATAATTGAAATAATTTAACTAATAAACAATTAAATCTCATGTTTACAAAATGGACCCCATTCCGGTCCATTTTCATATAGTTTTTTTTTTTTTATTTTGCATAAATTGCCGGAAAAAAATTGAAAAGTTAGGGTTAAATTTTCAGGATAATTATCATATTGTGCTATATTGATATTGTTTAAATTATCATTTAAGAGAAAAAAACTGTTAAAAAATGAATTCAATGTATATTTCACTTTAGCTTGATCCGATGATATAGTTGATATTTTCGGAAGAGCTGTTTCTGTTAATGAAACTGATGAAGGAGGAGGTGTTGTTGGTAATGATTGTGATAGCTGAAAAAGAAAAAAGAAAATTCAAATTTAAAGTCATAAAATTAAAGATTAAAGATTAAAGTTTTCAGATATCTCCTTTTGAGCGTTGTCACATCTTAGTATTTGCTTTTGTATCATTTTAGAAAATATTGATAAAAAATGAATTAAAAACAAAATACGAGGTGAAATTGAATTCAGTGTATATTCAGTGTAATTCAGCATATTTTGTTTTTAATTCATTTTTTACAATGCTTACGTTAGCATGAACCGATGTTACGGTTGGAATAGCTGTTTTTATTGATGAAACAGGTGATGATTCAGGTAGAGGAGGATGTGGTGATGGTGGTGGAGGTTGAAGTGGTGGTTGCGGCGGTGATGGAAGAGGTGGCGGTGGTGGTGCTGGTGGTGGTGGCGGTGGTGGTGCTGGTGGAGGAGGAGCAGGAGGTGTTATTGCTTTTTTGAAATTAATTTCTTTCTCTTCAATGATAATTCTTTCTTGAGTATCACCTTTCTTTTTCATTTTTACCTACAAAAGATATTATTCCCGAAAAAAAAAAACGGAACGACAAAAGTTTGTTTAAATTTTTTTTTTTTGTTTAAATAGCTAATTATCAATAAAAATTAGGAATTAAAATTCAGAAAATGAGCAAATTAAAAATGCAAAAAATTTCCAATAATAGCTGAATTGAAAGAAAATGCTACCATTTTGTTTGCTAATATTGTTAAAATAGATGACAAGAAATGGAATGAAAATCATTATCAATAATTTATTTATTTTTGTCATATCGAAAAAGAATAATGACCGAACTAAAAAAGAGTAAAACATATGTTTTACTCTTTTTTTTCGTTGTTTTTAAAATTTAATTTTAAAGAAATATTAACAGGAAGTAAATAAATCAGAGAAATTTACTGAATACCATTTTCTGGCTTCTGCTCATTCTGAGCTTTCTCCTTTCCTCTTCTAATTTCACTTTTTCCAATTGTTGCCAAAGAAGCCATATGAGTAAAACACAAATTGTACACAAAATAAGATCTAAGTCATTCATTTTATTCCAATTCAACCGCTCCTTATCGATGTATAGAAAAGTCAATGAATTCAAAAGAAAACATTGAAGAATTTAAATTTTAAGATTTCATTTCTGACTCACTAATTGTTTATCGATCTATCTTATAAGAATTCGATTTTTTGGATCAGTTATCATCTGACAAATTTAATTGCCAAAGATCTCTCATTTAAAATTTTACAGAAACTTTAAATTATGCTTTAATTCAGCTAAGGGATTGGTGTTCCTAATTTTAGAGCTCTAAATCATTCAGATCTTAATTTTCAAATCATGAACTTTATGATTATTGAAAAATTGATATGGAAGAAACACATAAGAACATTTGTTCATCTTTATTTTAAAGAAATATTTATGAATGCATACTTCTATAGCCATCACATTTCTCATAGAAAAAAAGAATTTGTGTTAGTACAAAGTACAAAATAATAAAGAATGACTGATGTCACCGACTTAGATAAAAATTTCAATATTTCGAATAAACCACATTATCGTTATCATAATGACCTGGTCATACCTGGTCACAATGACCCGGTCCAATGGATCAAAAATCTTGACGAGAGTGAAGCTAGCATTATCCTACACAATGTTTTTTCAAACAGAACTTCGATATTACACGTTAAATCATTTCGTGCAAACAAACCGTTTGTTAGATATAATATTAGTTATTTTGATAAAAGTTGTAAGAACTGACACGAATCAACATCTTCAATGCCGATAACAGAAGTGGAGCGTAAAACAGGCGAATTTTTCCCTGTACAATGAATAATCCGAGATTCAGAATTCATGATAATTCAATTGTTGCAGTAACTAAAGGTTGAACTAAGAGGCTAAGAAACGATAATGGACGAATCGATCTTAGACTTGTGAGAAAAAAACACCATTTCGAATTACAAAAGCAGCAGGAATTGAGAAAGGTTGATAATGCTTTCATCCTGTAATGTATGAAGAAAAAATTAAATTGTTAATCATCACTATAATTTTACTTTTTCTCCAACATATTATCACTTGGAGGAATCAACATCGAAAAAGCTGCATGAGATCGAATAAAAAAGGAATTCATCGAATCTTAATCCCTAAATTACTTTCCACTTGTTTCGAGCTTTATTTTTGGTGGCTTGAATGCTGTCCCTTTGAGTGATTTCCCTTCATATTCTTTCTTTGCTTTCTTCGCCATGAATTGTCTCCAAGTACCTCGGCGTTCATCACGCGATTCCTTAAAATTGATCAATTCTAATACAAGTTCCAAAATAATATTTGCTCAAAAGTATCTTTGATCTTCTTTGTCTTGGAAAGTATGCCAAACATGATTTTGAACAATTGCTTTAAAAATAAAGATTAAATTAATTATGACAAGAACAGAACTATTCTTGATTTCTATAAGAATGGAATAACTAATATCAAAATTCCATCTTTTTTTGATCCAACAAATATTTGAAACTACAATTTAAATGACAGTAAATCGGAAGCAAATGACTACTTCATAATTTTTAGCGAATTCTTCTTCTCTTTTCCTTTTTTCTGCAGCTGCAAGCATTTCCTCTGCTATCCTTCGCCTAAAATATTTCCAAAATTGATTTTTGATCTCACTACTTGCAGGACAAATCTGCAGACAGGTCTCCAAGGAGACGCATTCATTGCTTAGCATGCTTTAAATGAATGAGAATAGTGAATATCAATTGATCAGTTTACAACATAAATAGCATATTCTAAATGTTTAATAAAAAAGATTATTATAAAAGAATAAACTGACTTCTCTTCATTTGCTCTATCTTCTAACATCTTCCGTTTTTTTTCACGATCAGCAAATACCTGAATAATAAAAAGACATCATTGTAGAAAGCATTAATCAAATTCTGACTACAAAATAAATTCATTATTTCACAGACAAAAAAAAGACAATCTTTATTGTTTAATAAAAATTAAACTGCGTCATGAAATGTTTTTACATTTCACTTCGATGTTTATAGACAAAAACCGACAAGGATTGATGTGCCACACTTGTTTTGTGTTTTAGAGTCGAAAAGTACAAGATGACATCTAGTGATATTCAAAAATAAAATAAATCCCAAACCTTCGTGACTACTACCCAAAGTGCTTTATTGTATGCAGCTGGCTCATCTTCGGGTATTTTATCTCCTTGGCCATTCCTCTTTTGTTTACGTCTTTTTTCGCTCATCTATGGTTGATATTGTTTACATAATATAATTATCATGATATCTAACAGCACATAAGTATATAATGCATGATTATGCAATTAACTTTTAATAATATATAATCAACTGAACAGAAAAGTTCAAATTTTAGATCAGATAAGTGACTATATACAATAAAGGGGAACTATAAACCTGATTATTGACAAATTTTACCGCTTCATAATACTTTTATTAGACTCTTCAATTTTCAGCTTTTAAATATTTTAAATATAGTTATCGGAAAAGCTAAGCTTCAAATGGAGCTTTTTGTCTCTCGTATGCGCATATAGTTGTTGAAAATAGCGGTAGTAACTGCATTTACTGCAAAATATTCAGAATGTAATGCAGAATTGATTACGGAAAAAATCAGAAGCATTCAAACTTACAATTATTGCTAAACGCGCTCTTGCTTCTGTATAGGTCTCCCGGCATTTTGCCAATTCATCTGGATCTTCGATCATTTTCAGAGCCTTTTTTACCACTGAAATCATATTGTATATCTCGGCATATATTCTATGACATGAGTTCTCAAATTTAAAGTTAATTTTGAATGTTCCAAATACTTAACACTTCATTTGTAAAAAAAATTTCTTTCCTACCATCAAATGCACGTTCAGCTCTTTCACGGTCGTCGGTGTTTTTGTCCGGATGGATAAGCAAAGAAAGCTGCAAAATTGTCATAAAAGCTAATTTCAGTACAAAAAAATTTTTAAAAAATTCAAAAGTCCCAGAAGAGTAAAATTCTACAAATCAAAGATTGATGTAAAAAATAGACACGTCCGCACACTTTTAGGAATTCCCTCATAAAGAAATCACCTTTTTATATTTCTTTTTAGCTGTCTCAACATCTGTATCTGGATCAATTTGCAAAACCTGAAAAACAAGTTACATGCGAATTAGCATAAAAATTACTTTAGTTTCATAATTTGCGTTTAATTCAATTGAACGCATTGAAGTATCACGTTTCTGTGGCAACTATGTCATTCTATTCAGGATCTGCATACTAAAATATCCTTAATGGAGGCTACTAAAATACCTGGTCTCATATATCAGGAGATAAAATTATCAATGATTTAAACCACTTGATTGTCAATCAATCAACAAACAGCATGTTAGGTTTGTTCTCCGCAGTGTGCATACGATAAACAGTGCTTTACTGCAGCAAAAACTCAAATTAATGTTGTAATTTAAATCATTAAAAAGAAATCAGATAATTTAGCCGATACTTAATAAATTAGTGTAATACACACACAGTCACAAACTTTACCTCAAAAGGATTTAAATTAAGATAGGTGGAACCAGGACGCAATAAACGATCAATTTGTTGCTCTGATGTTAGTACCGAATCTTTCTTCTCTGTTTCTTTTAACTAAAAGAATAATTGACAGTATATCTTTTGTTTAAAAATTAACAAATCAAATACGCCAAATTTTTCTCGAAAAAATTTTTAAAGCTACATCAAACTTAGAAACAGAAAAATCTGACTAACATCACTATAGAATCGTTCAAAATCAGATGAATCGCCCATGACGTATCAATGCACCATTAACAAATATCGCTTGCGCAAATCTTCGTATCTTAAACATATGAATTAATAAAAAAAAAGGCAAAAGTAATTTCGAAACATATCGTGCCTCAACACTCGTTTATTGAACTTCATCTTTAAGCTTATTCATTCATCTAAAAAAGACCATACTACCACGGAACATTTTAGAAGACCGAATTATTGCTATCGAAATTCTAATTTAATCTAACTAATACAAACATTACTAATTTAGAAAAAAGAATTAAAACGAAAGTGAAACTAACTTAAAAACAAGCAATCATTTCGGCTAATATAATTAGCATGTTAAATCAGATAATAAATTTCGTACTGATAATACATCCAGAATAAAACCATTTTGATAAAAATCAGAAAACTTCTTAGAAATTCTTTATTTCATAAAATCATCAGAAATCCACAAATGTTGTCAAACATTACTACAGAATGAGACATTTAGACTGGCAATAATTTATCGTTCAGCCGTGAATTAAATCAAAATTAATTTTACAACGTTTTCATAATAATTCAGAAAATCATGCGAGCAGCTATATGCAACAATATGAGTGAGCAGGGAACAGACGATTCTTCGGAAATAATTTACATTTTTAAAAACAAAATCAAGTGAAAAAATTCAAATTAAATTGAAAAATTTAGATTTTTTAGTTAATGCACACAGAAAAATAAGCATTAACTAAGGTGTAATAATATTACAGGCGGTATCACCACTGAGATCAATTGATATCTTCCGATTCGAACAAAACTGTCGATAACGCACCTTAAAAAGTTTAACAGACGACAAACTTTCCACTTTATAAAATATTTTATCTAGTTCAATATGGTAATATGGATTTATTTGCACTGATTTTGCTTTTTAGCAATGGCTTCTTCCTGAGCGCTGTAATCATCGCCATGAATAAAAAAATTAAGTAGTACCAAGAAAAGTACTGCTTCTCAACCAACAAAAGCAAAAATCTTTGATGTCAAACAAAGAAATATGATGTATAGTAATATTAAGTGAATTAAAAAATAACTGAACTAAGTAATGGAATAAACATGTATTGAATATTAAGTAAATCTATCGAGTATGATAAATGTAATAATAAAATATTGATCTATAACTTATGAAGATTTTAAGAATGCCAACTAACTAACCCCAGCCATATCAAACATCCTTTTTGATGCAATCGTACTCATTTTCTTTGGCTTTTCTCTTTGAAATACTACTTCACTTATACCGGCCTGTAACACTTAGACACTTATATAGTTCAACATGAATAATCGCAATCGAATTGGAAAATCACCTGATAATCAAACAATGAAATAAAAAATTAATCAGACCAATATGTACTAAGTATTTGAATTTACAACGTTTATCCCAATAAACGTCAGCAAATTCTCTCAGAAGCTTTACATGCTCTATCCAGACAAAGCTTTACCTGTATGATAAGTTTAGCACATTCATTGCATGGAAATAGAACAGTGTAAATTGTTGAACCTTTAATTGAACCCACAATATTATTCAATATTGCATTCATTTCTGCATGACATACATAGGCTGATTTATTTTCCAAGAAATTCTCGGAATTTTTGCCCCATGGTAGTATATCGTCTGAGCAACCGGTCGGCATTCCGTTGTATCCGGAACCAACAATCCGTTTATCCTGATTTACAATTACGGCTCCAACCTGAAACGGCTGTCTTAAAGATACATTATCGCTGAACTTTAGCAGCAATAGAACTTAAAATTTGGCTATGATATTAACTGAAAAACGTATTCCTACAGCTTCTATTTTCATAGGAGAAAAATAGTACTTTATGGAGGATTTGTGAGAAAAACAGCAAAATTTGCAAAATTGTATTCCACTACTTCAATTAATGACTTGGTAACAGCAAAATAAAAGCAAAAAAAAATGAAACATATCTGGAATATAAATATACCTGCGTTACCGGATCTTTACTCCGTAGTGCAGCCATATGTGCTACACCCATAAAGTATTCTTCCCAGGAAAGGTAATCAGTACGTTTCACTGTATGATTGCAAATCACATTATCAGACTGATGATCACTAAAAAAGATTTCCAGAAGAATATACCTAATATATTGAATCAGAGAAGATGCTTGAACTTCTGAGAAAGCATATAGTTGACAAATCCCTCTACGGTTGTCACGATACAATGACGAAAAGCGCTTCTTGATCCATCAAATATTCAATCAACCATTAATGCTATATACTTGATATCATCCATTAAATATTTATTATTAATCAGTATTTTGTACACTCTTCCAAGCTATTTACTATCCGGAATTTTGAAGCAACCGATCATCATCCTGCTAAGATGGGATAAGATCTCGGCTAATTTACATTCCTTCACTAGCACTTCGGAACGCTTCATGTTTAACCAGACAGCACAGGATTTTCCTGATTTGTAACTGAAACTTTCAAAAATATATTTTCCTATACTTTGAACTATTATATGCGCTCCGTCACGCATTAAACGCTACAGTATCCAAATAAAATTATGCGAAAATAGACGTTCAAATAAACCTAACAATACATAAACACGAGAAAAACTTCACGCCTATTATCTTATAATTAACACTGATAAATCAAAAGCAAATATATTTCAAATAACAGACACATATATACATACAGGATATTAGAAATAAAACAAAACTTACTCGACAGCTGTTGTCATCGTATCAACAATTTTTTCACTATCAACGGACTCAACAATTCCTTTCATTTCGCTAATTTTGGCAAAACTTTCGTACGTAAAAAATCTAAATTACGTCTGAAAAAAAAAAAACCCACCGCACGTATGAATTATACCACTTCTGAATCGATAATGTACTTTTTAATTTCACGCAGCCTCACGATGAAACTATGCAGTTCACGTTTTTGAAATTTATATTATTCAATTTTGAGTGGATAGAACACAATTATAATACAATTATAGCTCGAAAAATGTAAACGCAAGTGTTAGAGAAGTTTTCCTATGACGGATTTCGTTTAAAAATTACATTAAAACGAGTTAACATATATGACTTTTTTTACGTTAGACCCTGTAAGTGATCACACATCACGTCACTTTCAGCCTTCTGAATGCATGCCTTTTTTTTTCTTTTTTTCCATTGGAATATTAATCATTCAATTTTAATACATTCTCCATATCTATATTTTAGAGCAAATTCACACTGCAAATTGTCATGTAAATTTCAAGAATTAATTGAGAAGTTACAATGATTTATTCGTACGTTACGTACGTTTAAATATAACAATGCTTCTGATTTATGGCTGATTAAAATATTTTCGTGTACATATTGTTTAACGGATAAAAATAAACGTGTTCTGTGCTTATTTTTGACGTAGAATATAGTCGTTGTCTGCGCTTCTTACAGCATTTTTTTTTTTTTTTAAATAAACTGCAAATGGCCAACGTGTTATCACACCAAAAATTTTAGGTTTTTATTAATTAATGATGATTGCTGAATAAATTGTGAAGAATTCAAAACTTATCAAGTCCAAGAATATTACTTTGCGCGTAATGTAAAAAAAATGAAAACATTTTGTAATCAAATTGATGCCGAATTATGACGAGAGCTTCCTTCGAGTTAAAAAATGTTATTTATGCGTAATTGACGTTGGATTCACGTATTTTGTAAGAAGTAATCAGATTAAGCATACATACTTTAAATGGGTATTTTACGTGAACGATAAGCAAGATAATACTTGATGAAGATAAATGTAAGGATGGAGAAAGATATTGTATTTGTAAAATTATTCTTTTCATCTTTAGCTGTCATGTGTAATGCTTACGTACTTAAATACGTATATGTAAAATATTTAAGTATGTGGATTTTGATTCCATAACACAGTTATAATGCTATCCTTTTCGTAATCTTTAGCTGTCACATGCAATGTTTATATTCTTTAAATGGATAATATTCGATTGAGCGGATATCGATATTTCAATGCAAATTTCAAATTTATTCTTTTTTTTCTTCACTAAAAGAATCTCAATACTGTAACAGTGAAACTTTTTTTTTCGTAATAAAATAGCAAAATCAAAGTATATAGTTCGAAGATGACCACAAAAAAAGAAAAATTGAGAAACAATCTTTAAAAACTGCATACATTAGGAAAAGAAAGAAATAAAATAAAATAAA